TGCTGCTTTTGAGCCACAGTTGACTGTGGATGACTAAGATCTCAGAAAATGAAACTATGGTTTAGCAGGGGACTACCTTCCATATTTTTAATCCTTACACTGCCCAGAGCACTGGCTAATCTCAGATGCTCCACCTGCACTTGCTGTGTGAATGACCAGGGCCAATGAATCAGTCTTCCAGTGCTTCCTGAGTTTCATTTCAAGCTCGAGTGCCCTCTTCAACAGCTCTACAGGGACTGTTATGCTGATGCCTCCAACTGTCTTAGGAGGCAGAAGGGCTGGTGGTTAACAGCCAAACTTTTGTCGGTCTGCCTGGACTCTAGTCTGGGGCTACCAGAATGAAAGTGTGATACCTTGGGAAAGTTACTTAAGTCCTCTGTGCCTCAATTTCTTATTAGCAAAGCAGGGCGGGTGGTGACACCAGCATACTTGGACATGACTTATTTCCCTAATTACTTTAGAAAGTCTTTGTAGGAAAAGATGATTATTTTGCTAGGTCTTAGAATGGTACAAGGACCAAAAAGGTGACTGATTATCCATTCCGTCCATTGATTTCTTGTAGATGAAAGTCTTTTAATTAATTCCTGTTTTCAGCACTCAGCACAGTGCTTGGCACACAGCATATGCCAAATAGAAACCCACGTCTGTGTGAATAGATAACCAGATCTGCAGGCTAAATTTTAGGGTCAAATGAATGGGACCAAATCAAGGGCCCATTCATCAAGGGGAGAAGGGAGAAATTCTGAGGGCTGAGGCAGGCAGGGAAAGCTTCTTAGATGGGGTGGGATTTGAACCAGACCTCGCATGTTGGAATGACTCTCAGTGATTATATCACTTTGACACCATTTCCTGGAAGGAGACAATGTAGTATATGTACTACATATATGTATGTATATATACATATGAAACGCCATATATATGGTGTTTCTCATGAAACAGGCTTTGGTAAGAAACCATCTTCCATGCTGTTTTATCTGGTATCATATAGCATGGAGTCAGCAGTGGGTTTGGAGTAGATAATTTCCTTAGTGAAAACATATTTTTGTAAATCTTGGAAATACTGAGACAGTCTGCTGCAATCATAGTCACGATCACAGATTTTAGTTGAGTGAGGGACAAAGAAAGTAAAATATTTATCCCAATAACTCAGCAATGTGGGGAATATGTAATCTGATTGATATGAAATTCTAGCAGTTAATCCACATCAATTTTGAGAGAAGCAGAAAAACAGATCTGGAAGCTGACGATTAAGGATCTTCTGTTCTCATCTCTGCCACAGGCTTTTGGTGGAGCATTGAGCACCTCCAGAATGCAAATGCTGGCATGGTGCTCCTTTCGTCAAGCATGTTCACACCAGAGTGACATGTCTCATGACATTGTATATCTAGTAGAGATTTTGCCCATTCTCATATCTGACAGATGCTCTTCATAAAGAAGACAAAGCAAATATTATCATCCCCCTTTCCAAATTAAAATGTGGAGGCAATGAAGGAATGTGGCATTTGCTGTAAAGGAGTGAAGCTAGCTCAGTTTTCCACTACAACACATTCTCGCTGGGTACAATCTAGACTAGTCCAGTTTTCTGCTTCATTGCTCTTAATGGAGACAGAAAAACCAACTATTGTGTGCTTAGCTACAGGCTTTTTAGTGCTAATAGTATTATATCCTTCACCTTTATTTTCCTCAGATCAAGCATAAAACATATCTTGGAGACAAGCCAGATAAATGAAAGTCTGGTTCTGCTTTATTTCTTACCAGAGAGAACATACACTGAAAGACTTGGAAACTTGGCAATTTCCTTATTCTAAGAATGTTTTCAGGGCCAACAATGCTGGGAGACTGGGGTCAGGAGTAGCAGAGTCAGTGCAGTGAGTCGTGTTCTGGTGGTTTGAACATGAACAGTGGCAACAATAACAAAACTATACTTAAACATTGTCTACAATGCACCTAGGATTTGGCCAGTATTGTCCCATGAAATTTCTAAAAATAGAAGTTTTAGAAATTAGAGATTTGAGAAAGATGCTACAGAAGGGGGAAGTGTTGTGGAGTCTGAGAGCAGAGATGCCATTATAGGGTAAGCCAGCTAGGACAGTGGTTAGCTCAGCCACCTTGTGTCTATTGGGAGTCCTTCTCTTGAAGTCACATTCAGGTTATTTGTCTCTACCACAGCCAACTGAAATACAGAAAACAGATTTTATTTATTATTTTTTTCTTTTTTATTTTATTATTCATATGTGCATACAAGGCTTGGGTCATTTCTCCCCCCTGCCCCCACCCCCTCCCTTACCACCCACTCCGCCCCCTCCCTCTCCCCCCCACCCCCTCAATACCCAGCAGAAACTATTTTGCCCTTATTTCTAATTTTGTTGTAGAGAAAGTATAAGCAATAATAGGAAGGAACAAGGGTTTTTCCTGGTTGAGATAAGGATAGCTATACAGGGCATTGACTCACATTGATTTCCTGTGCATGGGTGTTACCTTCTAGGTTAATTCTTTTTGATCTCACCTTTTCTCTAGTTCCTGGTCCCCTTTTCCTATTGGCCTCAGTTGCGTTTAATGTATCTGCTTTAGTTTCTCTGCGTTAAGGGCAACAAATGCTAGCTAGTTTTTTAGGTGTCTTACCTATCCTCACCCCTCCCTTGTGTGCTCTCGCTTTTATCATGTGCTCAAAGTCCAATCCCATTGTTGTGTTTGCCCTTGATCTAATGTCCACATATGAGGGAGAACATACGATTTTTGGTCTTTTGGGCCAGGAAAACCTCACTCAGAATGGTGTTCTCCAATTCCATCCATTTACCAGTGAATGATAACATTTCGTTCTTCTTCATGGCTGCATAAAATTCCATTGTGTATAGATACCACATTTTCTTAATCCATTTGTCAGTGGTGGGGCATCTTGGCTGTTTCCATAACTTAGCTATTGTGAATAGTGTCGCAATAAACATGGGTGTGGAGGTGCCTCTGGAGTAACCTGTGTCACAGTCTTTTGGGTATATCCCCAAGAGTGGTATTGCTGGATCAAATGGTAGATCAATGTCTAGCTTTTTAAGTAGCCTCCAAATTTTTTTCCAGAGTGGTTGTACTAGTTTACATTCCCACCAACAGTGTAAGAGGGTTCCTTTTTCCCCACATCCTCGCCAACACCTGTTGGTGGTGGTGTTGCTAATGATGGCTATTCTAACAGGGGTGAGGTGGAATCTTAGTGTGGTTTTAATTTGCAGTTCCTTTATTGCTAGAGATGGTAAGCATTTTTTTCATGTGTTTTTTGGCCATTTGAATTTCTTCTTTTGAGAAAGTTCTGTTTAGTTCACTTGCCCATTTCTTTATTGGTTCATTAGTTTTGGGAGAATTTAGTTTTTTAAGTTCCCTATATATTCTGGCTATCAGTCCTTTGTCTGATGTATATCTGGAAAGTATTTTCTCCCACTCTGTGGGTCAGAAAACAGATTTTAAACAATTGGTGGGTGTTGAAGTCTCATAGAAAGATCTTAGAGGCACTACTTCCTTCTGACTCTACCACTTCCTGCTGGGGAATTCTTAAGAGTGTCTGTAAAATGTTGAAATTTTTTAAAATATAAAAAGTTAGTTATAATTATGTAACATTCCTTGAACATTTTCAGCACATTCTAGGTTTCTTAACAAAAGCTGAAGGAAGAGACAGAAGAGAGTGAAAAGGAAGAAGAATAAATTACTACATTTATTTTATTTGAGTAGTATTATTATTCCTTAAGATTTGGCTCAGTGTCCTTCAGTAAATGGTAAAGCTAAGAGCACTCTTCTACAGATTACCTGCTAAGATTTTTCTTCCATGAGCCTTGCTAATTAAAAAATACCGTACCTATTCTAGTTAGGTACTTGACATATCTTTTCAATAATTTCAAAGGGACCTAAATAATTAAGTTAAAGGACATGATAATGTCTTACTCACTGTAGCTCACTTTGATTCTGATGGTAATACTAATTTGTAGAACTAGTGCATAGAGTAACTTACATTCATGGGACAAATGGGGAACCCGAGATTCCTTTTCCAAAATACAAGGTCTATCAGAGCATATAGGAAGCGGAGCAAACTAGCAGGACAAACCAACTTAACACATCCAGTGGCATTTGGTGCTGGGGGGGGGATGGGGGGGAAGCAGGCTCTCTTGTTAATTTCACACTTCCTCTATACATTTCAAAAACCAGGGTGCAACTAGGCAGCTGGATTTTACAAAGACCTTCAGAAGGCTAAATGCCAAGTATACTTGCAAACACCCGAGCTTTAAGGAGTTTTCTGGCATCTGTTTGCTATAAGGAATCCAAATCTGCTTAGTTAAAGCATGGGCTTTATGCTTCTGGAAGGATATTCCTGTTCATTAAGGCTGTGGGCTTACTAGAATTACTGTCTGTCATTGAGGTATAGGCATGCTGGAGGCATATCTGGATTCTTCAAAACCTGGAGAAATTCACCAAAGTGGAGGGAAAGAAGAAACTGTCATCATATAGGAGGGAATCAAAGCTCAGAGGGGTTGCTGTGTCCCAAGTCCACACTTCTCCAATAGTATACCCCATGTTCTCTGAGATATCCATGAGGAATGGGTAGGGGGGCTTTGCTCTTCATCAGCAGCCCCCAGCCAGCTCCTCCTTTCTGCAGATGCTTAGATTTGTCTTCTCTGGCTCCTCATTAATGAGTTCCACAGGACAATGCTAAGTCTAGTTATGCAGCCTTAATTGGTTTAGTTACAACCAGATAATTCCTTTTTTCTTCTCATGGAGGCCTTTCTGTGTAAAGACATTTTAGCTGGAAGATGCTAATTATCGATGAGGAAAAAGTAACACCTGAAGAGTTCATTCTCCATCTTGTTCCTTGGTTTTTCCTTTGAACTCTCTCCACCCGGCCGTCTTTCCCACTTCATCACTTCTCCCCCACCATCATAAAAGAGAGCTCATCCCTGGCCAGGCGGCAGAACTTTCTTTTTCACTTGCCTAGAAGTTGTTCCTTCCACAGCTGTTTCGGGGACATGGACAACCTACAGGAGACCTTCCTCAGCCTTGAGGATGGCCTGGACTCCTCCAATAGCCCTGGCCTGCTGTCCTCCTGGGACTGGAAAAACAGGGCAAGGCCTTTTGAGCTAAATCAGGCCTCCCCAACTCAAAGCCTTTCCCCGGTTCCATCACTGGAGTCTTATTCTTCTTCTCCCTGTCCAGCTGAAGCTGGGCTGTCCTGTGGGCATGGCGGGACCAGCAATGGGGGCAGCAAAGGCTGTAGCAGCCATGGGTCTGGTGGCCTAGTAGAGGTGGACTACAATATGTTAGCTTTCCAGCCTGCCTATCTGCAGAGCACCGGTGGCCCCAAGGCCCAGAAGGGCACCAAAGTCAAAATGTCTGTCCAGCGGAGAAGAAAGGCCAGCGAGAGGGAGAAGATGAGGATGAGGACCTTGGCAGATGCTCTGCACACTCTCCGGAATTATCTGCCACCTGTCTACAGTCAGAGAGGCCAGCCACTCACTAAGATCCAGACCCTCAAGTACACCATCAAGTACATTGGGGAACTCACAGACCTCCTCAACAGTGCCAGAGACTCCAGAGCCCAGAGTATGTGAGCTTTGCTCCTCAGGGATCTGACCAGTTCTAGCCCACTGGCACAAGTAGAGGAGCTTTAAGGACCCCCTCCAAGTATCTTACAGGACAACAGCACAGAGTTACTTGTGACAATCTTCTGACCTGAGAAGTTCTAAGGGAATCTCATCGCCTGTTGGAACCACCACACTTTACTGCCAGTCAAGCAAAAACTTGTTTCCAGTTTTTCCCAGCATCTCTCCAGAGATTCATTCTTTGCAAAGAGACAGATTATTTTGCCCTTCTGTGTCTGTTTAAGGTATTCCAACAAGTCAATGCATTTTAAATGCATTTTTTGATAATGTAAAATATGAAAATTAATCTTCTACTGCCATTTTTGGTGTTGAACGCATTATTTCTTAGTTGCTAACTAAGCCAGTGGGACACCTGGATTCTTATTTGGAAAGATTTGTGCCAAGTAAGGAGTCAGAGGCCTGTTTTGGGGTGTGTGTGTGTTGTGTGTTTGTGTAGAGGGAGAGAGAAAAAACGAGAGAGAGAGAGAAAGAGAGAGAGAAATGGAGACAGACTGACATTCTGCCTTTACTTTTGCTGGGACCAAAATCACTTCAGTGGAGAAGGAATTGGTGTCACAGTAAGTAGAAAGTCCCAAGCAGCCAGGTTAGGCTAAGGTAAGGCAGAGTGCATATCCTAAAGACCAAAATTTCCTCTGTAAGGCAAGGGAGGGTAGGCTGTGTACTCACACTGTCTGTATATCGGGAAATGAGGGTACTGGAAGAAGGAGGGGAGGAAGTTACAACACCATGAGGAGGCCTGAAGCAGGGCTCAGAAGGGAGGAGGTCCCGTCTCAGGTCTGTTGTGAATATGACCTCATTTATCCCTCCAGTCGCTCATTTTTCAAATGAAAAGATTAACTCAAAACAAAGAAACACGAAGAACATTTGAGCTCCATAGATAATAAGTGATAAGGTACGGATTACAACTCAAGTCTGTAACCCCTCCAAAAGTATTTCTTCATCCATAATATCCTGCCTTCCTACCCACCTGCCTTCTTCACCCCACATGTCCTTCTCCACTCCACATGCCCCCAAACACAAATGCACGCCATCCTCAAGGTGCTTATTTTGCAGGGCTAATTTGAATGCATGGAACTTTGAACTAAGGAGCTTCTCAAAAAAATTGGGTTTTATCAGGTTGCCTTTTTCTCCTCTCATAACTATTAGTATGTTTTGTCAGTGAATCTTCTGTTTATGTCTCCTATTATCTTTTTCTACTTGTGGTTTTTCTTCTGTTTGGTGATGTAAATTACAAAGACAGTTGTGTTTACAACTCCATATATGACTTATACACATTTTTCTTTGCTGATACAAAAAATATAGACATAAGTATGATCTCGTATATACGAGATATGTATATATGCAAAGAATCTCTTTAATTCTGCAAATTCTTTTTAACTTATCAATCTATAGCAACAATTATTTTGAGTTACAAAAACCTGTGATATAAGTACCAGCACACGTTGATTTTATAGCTAAGGAAATTAAAGCCTGACTTTTCCAGTCACAGATGTGAAAAGTATAGTGGAAAACAGAGTTTCCAACAATGTGCCCTAGCACAGGTTTTGCACAATTTCTTTAATGAAGCACCTTCTGAAGGATATTTAAGTTGTTTTCAGAGTTTTATTGTTACCAAAAAATGCTGTAACAAATATCATAGATAGGTAGCTTTATTCACTGGTATTTTAATTAGCCTGAAAAATTCCCAGAAAGGGAATGTGACTGAATGCTCATTTTTAATCTTAACAAATACTACTTGATTACTTTCAAAGTTTGTGGTTATTTACATTCTCACTAATATCATGTGACAGAATCAATTGTCCTACATTGCCACTGGATATTACCAAACTTAAGAATTTTTAACGGACAGAAACAGTTACACTGTGTTAATTTTAATTTTCCTATCTGTTATTTGAAATGGATGTCTGCATTTTATGTGATTGTTATTAATTTTGGTTTATCTTCTATAGTGTGCACTTTATGTTTTTTGTGATTTTCTGTTAGGTTATCTTCTTGTTTAATTTGGGAGAATTCTTTGTACATTGTTGTAATACTTCTTTACAATCTATCATTTTTATATCCTTTTTATGGTGTCTTCTATTCATGATTTTGATTGTAGTGTCTTTTGCTCTTTGAAGCTTTCCCTTTTTATATAATCATCTCTCTTTTTTTGTTGACTGACTCATGTGGTTTTTCCTCTTTGCTTAAGTTTTCCTAGTTTTAAAGTTGTTCAAATGATCTTATTTTTTCAAATATTTTTATTATTTACTATGGGTCATTAATATACCTGTAATTTACTTTTCTCTATAGTGTGTGAAAGAAATTTAACTTTATTTCTGTTTTTAAAATTGAATTATATGTGGTAGGACAGAGTTGTTAAAATATCCTACTTATACAAAAAAGCTTCTCATATATTGGAGGCTTTTTGTGTGTGTTGGAGAAGAAACCAGAAAACATTGTAGAATATTAAGACTTTCTCCAATGGACCTGTACACGTATAGGTGTTTGTGTGGGTACATTCATGTGTATTTGTATGTGTGCATGCATGAACATGCATAGGTGTGTGTTATGTTCTAATGTGTTACGGAAGGAACAGCAGAAAGGACAGTAATGTGTGGGGGGAACTAGCTGATCTAGAAATCAACTTTTGGGTCAAATGATATTTTCCTTGTCATTTTTAAACAAGTGGGAATTTGCTTTGATTATTTTCAAGGTCAATTATAAAAATAGTTCAATAGCTTGGGAAAGTTTGGTTGCCCTAGAGACCAAGTAATACAGTTGAATTAAAAGTGTCTTCACTTTTAAAAAATTCCACAGAGCCAGACTCACCTGTTCTCTGGGCCTGTCCTTTGCCCTTCTGAGAGGCCCTCAGGAGGGTAGGCCTCTGGAAAGCCAAGAAAAGGTGACAGCTTTCTGGGAGGAGCCTCTGGCCCAGAGCTTTGTGTCTTCTCTAGACTCTACATGCTGACCAAACTCCATCCAAGACAGGCAGCAGTACAGGAGCTTTGGAGTCCAGCAGCAAACAGTCCCCAGTAAAGCTGCCTCCCTTATAGGGAGCAGAGCTGGAACAGGTCCATGATCCTTCTGGTTAAATCATGTGACCTGGGCAATGCTCAAGAATAGGAACAAGTTATTTCTGGTGCTTAGATAAAGATTGTAGAACCACAATTCACATGATGTGCTGTGGTCAGTATTTCCACTAGGGCTGGGCATTACCCTTCCTGTTTTGAGGATAGGGAAACTGAGGTTTAGGGTGTTTAAGCAATGCAAAGTCACATGGTTAGATAGTGGCACATGGTTGGCTCATTAGCTCTTGGGTGCAGCTTCCATTGCAGAGCTAAAGCTTTTTGCCTGTATCTTGCTGCCTTCTTTTCCAGCTTGCTCTGAGGATGTGCACTAGGCTTGGTCATGGGAGAGACTCCTCAGCAAATGCTCACTCCTGGGGCCTTGGACTGCCTTTTTCCTTCCCTCCCTCTGGGGCCCTCATTTCTTTCACCAAGTGAAGCATTTCGGAAGGGGCTGTTCAGCTTTTCCTCCAAATTATTTCCCTTTGAACCTTGCATGTTTCCTCAGAAATTCCCATCACTTCCTTTGCTGGCACTTAAGAGTTTTTGCTTAATCTACAGAGGAAATCTGGCATCTGTTCATTCATGCTCAATAAAGTGGTCCACAATTCACACTGGGTTGAGGTTTCTTTGTTCTGCTTGTTGCCTCTATCACATGAGTTAATCAGGAGAGAGGCCAAAGCAGGGTGTGTGTGTGTGTGGGGGGGGTTCCTCCTGCAAATTGACAAGTTGACGAGTTACTTTTGCATTAAATTTTTTTGTAAAAACAAGAAGCTGGATGTAGCTCAGCCAGTGCCTTTGAGGGCCTGTTACATGGGCTTAGAATGTTATCTGCCTATGCTGAGACTTTGTTTGATTCCCATTTAGACTCTAGGCCACTGGAAAGGGGAATCCCTGCTCCAGCCTGGGCCTTAACCTCTATGGGCTCAGCTCATGTTGGCTTGGAAAGAACCAGGGATCTGCTGGCTCCTCTTCTTTTGTCCTCCTGCTGGGAAACTGAGAAGGTGTCTGACTTGTACCTCTTACAGCTGCCTGGAAGGACTTGATCTTGATATTTTGGTCTCAGAAAGACCCTGAACTCCAAGGAAGAAGAAAGCACACAGGCTTCTGGGAAGGCTGGGGTAAAGGACAATTATTTGTCTTTTGGGTTTGGAAGCTGTCAACCTTCCCTTCCTTAGTTATGTTCTCCACATGAACTCTACAGACTTTCTCTTCTCTTCATTAAGTTAAGTGGGGAGACCTGGCAGGGCTGGAGACCTGGGACCGGTGGGGGAGAAGTGTGTTTAAAAATCCTGTCGTAGCTATTTTCAGCCCAGGAATCCAGTGTAGCTCTATCATCTGAGGTGCCCAACTCAGAGCCAAGGGCTTTTTGTATGTTTTTCTCCATTAATCTTAATGGTTATCAGGAAGAGATAGCTATCAAGAGGCCAAGTAACTTCATCCAAGTTCACATAATTGGTGCAAGTCAAGGAATCTATTTTGGTCTGCTTGACACATGTCTTTAATGATACTAAGTCTATGTGTCAAAATGAAGCAGTGATGAATGGAACTGGAGAACATCATCTGAAGTGAAATTAGCCAAAGGCTGCATGTTTTCTCTCATATGGAGGATATAGGCCCAATAAAAATACAAGCAATCTTATATATACATAAAAATATGTACAGAACATGTATTCAAATGTGGGACTGGTAGAGGAGACAAAGGGAGGAAGAAAAAAGGAAAGAAAGATAATGAATAATAATGAAGTTCCTAACTTTGTAGGAAGTAGAAGGGGCCTGAGATAGAAAGGAGAAAAATGGAGGGGGTGAACCAATTCAAGTTATAATACATATATACATGGGAATGTCATGAATGAAACTCCCTGTATATAAATATAAATCTTAAACAAACAAAAATGTCTTTTT